AAAAGTTGGAGAAAGAAAAAGCTACCAGGTATATGAAAGGTCCTGAAAAGGTTCTTAATATGCTCAAGTGGAACTGTATCTTTTACCAAGACAAGTGTTTTTGTACAAAAGGGAGATTTATGGAACTTATAAGCAAAACTGCTTTTTTTTTTTTTGTCATTTTCTTTTTTATCGGTACTGGGGACTCACGACCAAACTCACGACCGCCTGCTTGCAAGACAGGTGCTTATGCCGCTGAGCTAAATCCCTAGCCCCTAAAACTGCTTTTTTTTCAAGTGCCAAAAAATTTTCATCTGTTAGCCCTTGGTAAGGAATGTTTGAAAAAATATACTGTTTGATTAGGGTTGCTTTGGATACTTTTGTATCAAAATCTGCTCATAAATTCATGTTCTCAAAGGAACTGTTGTCTTTCTCTGTATCTTTATATATATATATATATATATATATATATTTTTTTTTTTTTTTTTTTTTTTTTTTTTTGTCTTTTTCCTTTTTATCAGTACCGGGGATCGAACTCGAACTCACAACTGCCTGCTTTCAAGGCATGCACTTATGCCGCTGAGCTAAATCCCCAGCCCCTTATATCCCCTTATATTTCTTTTTTTAAGGGGGGCTTGGACCCAGGGCCTTGCACTTTGTGGCTAAGCATTGCATTACTTGGCAACTCGCAGCTCTTAGACTTTTTTTTTTTTTAACTTTTTATCGGTACCAGGGATCGAACTCACGACCGCCTGCTTGCAAGGCAGGTGCTTATGCCGCTGAGCTAGATCCCTAGCCCCCAGCTCTTAGATTTTTATATTTCTGTTTTCAAATCTTAAAGCAGTTTGGGACAGATTTAGTTTCTCATTCTTTCTCAGCGGTCAATCACTGTATTTTATTGTTCTTTCAAAACCAAACAACAGAAAGGAAAAACATTACCAAGGATTGTGTTCTTTCTATGAATACTTATATTACTCTTTTCTAATTATTTCTTTATAGAGGTCTCCCAAGAATTACAAGACATTGGAAGGCAATGGGCTTCTCACTTGGTGAAGAATTTATTACACATTTATTCATAGACAACTAAATGACCTTTTTTGCTTCATTCATACCATCTGTGATTGACTTTGGTGTCCTCGTCATATTGTTTCATTCCTATTAACATCTGCCCTGTTGACTTACATTTATCATGTCATGGACTTCTTTGTTCTGCTCTAAGGCTATACCTCATTAAAAGTCTGCACTTTCTCAGTCTTATGTTTAGATCCTAATTGCTTCCACCAATTGAAATTTCCTTTTTTTTTTTTTCATACTGCTAGCCTTTTACTAAGAGTATTACATTATTTCTGCCTTACTGTCTGATTCTGTATGACTATCTAGAGCTGTGCAGGGTTTGAGATTTTACTTTACTTACAAACTAATAAATTATTTTGACATAATTTAATGAATGCTCAGTGTTTTACATTCATTATAGTAGCTCATTCTACTTACTTAACTGGGGTCATTTCATTTGAATCAATCCCTGGGGTAGACCTAAGCTTTTATCTAAGCTATAAACAAAAATATGCAAGTGTTCTATGATACTTGTGCACTGTCACTCCCTTTTCATTGACTTCCTTTTTCAAGAAGTAGCAACATGATAATGCATCTTTGTCTTGATATATCAAGACAAAGTGGTACTCTTTGTACCACTATGATGGTCTCTCTTGTTGAAACAAATATTTGCCACTTACTCTGCTACTATTAGAATGATTAATACTAAAAGTATTTAATCTGGTAAATCATCATATTTTACCTACCCAAAACCATACGCTAAATCATCCTGATTCATCATTGTATTTTGTAGGCACGCATTATTAGTAATGTGTAGAAGCCAACACATACATACATACATATATGTATATATCCATCATATATAATATTTTATATAAAAATGACTCATAACTTGTGTATCTGTATAACAAAGCACTAATTATGTTTCTCAGACATTGTCCAAAGATGTCATGATAATAAACCCATTCCCAGACTTTCAGATCTTGTCTACGAGATGTAACATACTGTGGTCTATGAGTCTAACATCTGACTTACATTTATATTATTCTTCCTTTCGTCTCACTTTTTCTAGCTATTATACTAATTATTTCAATACTTCCAAACCTCACATTTGGGGCTAAATATTATAGGTGTTATTATAGCCTCTTTACCGATGAAAAACTGAAAACATAAGAAAGTTAACTAATTTGCTAAGATTACAAATTAGCAGTGATAGTGAGAAGACAGGATTTTGAACTTTTGTCTCTACAGTCTTTGCTCATAGCTGTTTCACTTTATTACCTCTTTAGATTGTTCTTATATAAGAGTTTCAGGTAGTAGGTGTTATTATGTTTCCCAGTAGAAGTAGTAGGATTAGAGTTTATGATGGTGTGGTGTGAGTTTCAGTTTATTTTTGAAATAGGGGATAGGTTTGACTATATGAAGATGAGAGAAAATTCCAAGTACGTAGAATGAGCAGTTTTAGAACTAGGACTAGTAAGAGTAAGTTCAAGGATAACAAAAAGGTTACTCTGTAGAAATGATAAAATTACTGAAAGTGTATTCATTAGAACTTTCCTGAATTTAAAAAATGAGTATTTTTCTCAGATTTCAAGATTAATTGGATTCTTTTAAAAATAATGCTAGTATATTTCATTCATTGAGAATACTAATTCAGTATTTTTTTTGCCTTTAACATTCTCTTTTTATTGTGATTTGTAGCATTCGATTGTGATATGTCTCAGGGCCTTTAGATTTCTTTTTTTTTATTTTAAAAAGCAAAATAAAAGGATAGAAATGATACAAAATTAAAAAAAATGTAGAGAATTAACACTAGTTAATATATTGCACATTGTTATTTCAGAACTATTTAGTTTATAAAATCTAGGTACAAAAGTGATCAATCGAATAATGACAGCAACTAATTCAGTTTTTAATTATAAAAACTTATTAGTAGTGGAATAATAGAATAATTCATAATTCTTATTATCGTTGTTATAGTCTTTTTTTTTTTCTATCTAGTTCTGTCCATACCATCCTAATTTGGTCAGCTTAACTTGTGATGAAATTAATATAGCAGAAGGGATTGCAGTATGTTGAATGTCTGCTAAGTTTCAGAATTAAAATATTATTTTAAGCATTCTGATAATTTTCGGTTGTATAAAAGTCCTGCGAGGAAGGTGCACTCAGCTGCTTATGAACCACTTGAACGTTACATTATTATATAAACAAATGACACACATACTGTATTCAGAAAGCAAGTATCATGTGAAAGTGTCTAACTCTGTCAAAGAAATGTCATACTTGCGTACTCTAGTAAAAATAAGAATTTTTTTCCTTTGCTAGGAATTAAGCCCTGAGTATCATGCATGCTTTGCAAAGACCCTAGCGTTGTGCAACACTATCATCCCCAATTACTGTGTGAGAATCTTGATTGTTATGGGAAACTGATTTTCCTAAACTTGAGACTGAAGAAATCCAAACTCTCTTTTAGATTTTGTACTTCATCACCAACTGCTTGGAATGTGCATAAAATAAACAATTTACCAACATATATCCATTCATTTGTTATATTTATAAGCTAAAAGAAGCGTGAAAGTAGAAAAATAAACTAACACCAAAGACTAGGAAGTGAAGTGTGGGAAGTTTAAGTTCACCAAGTGGAAATTTCTTTGTGAAATCCTTTGTTATCACAGTGTGGATGCTGATTGTGATTACATTCAGAATTTTTAAATTTAATTTCCTTTTCTAGAATAATAGAATCAAACTTCTTTGTAACTTTGTATGTAAGGGGGCCGGGGGTTTAGCTCAGTGGTGTAACTGCCTGCTTGGCAAACGCGAGGTTGTGAGTTCAATCCCCAGTACCAAAATAAATAAATAAATAAATAAAGCCAATTTGCTAGTCTTTCTTTTAAAAAAACAAAACAAAACTTTGTATGTAAGGCTGGATTTGCAGTTATCCAGAAACATTTTTTGAAATAGTAAGAATTAACGTTGAAGACTCTTTTTTCCAAGCTAAGTGAACTGTTGTCAGAATAATACCATTTTGTATAGTGCCTTGCCTATTCATAAGTATAATTTGTACCATAAGTTTCTCAGGGCTTATTCAGCCACATTCATAGCCGTTTTGGAATGAGGCCGATCCCTACAGAATACACAAAATTTTACTTGTAAAGTACCAATGCTACTGCTGCATAAAACTATTGGAAATACTTTCCTTTTGATAAAATGGGTAGAATATTAGCAAAAATTAAATTCTAATTTTGATAAAATGGGTAGAATATTAGCAAAAATTAAATTCTGATCTTTAAATGAATGTGTATGTTAAAAGGCTAAGAATAAAGGCTTATTAATTATTTTGATCTGATGTACTATTGGAAAATGTCTGTTTTCTAAATCTTTTCATATGGAAAAGACATTCAAACTATGTTTGGATTTTACTCAGTGATCAGGATGAACCTATAATCTTCTCTGGATTTATTGTTTATTATTTTTTAAAAGCTTCAATTCTCCATTAATTTCTTTCTACATATAACATACTGGTTTATGATTCCAGCTGTGGTGATTTTTGTATGACCTTGTTACCCAATCCATCATCTAAGCCTTAGGTTTTTGTTCCTGTACAATGGAATTATTTAATATGTTGTTATTTCTATCATGTATTTTCAGTGTCATGTTGATAAGCTTGCCTTTGGAAGCTTTCAATCAAGAAAAACCAGTAATTATACAGCTACACACATTGGGATGTAGGGTGGGAGTGATAGGAGATTAGTCGTAGGAAAAAAATTGAGAACATTAGCTTTATAATTATGTACATAATATTATGTACTGCACACATTTCCTTATTTAAATGAACAGTATAGGCAGTAAATTAGAGCTAGTTTTATCTGGCCTTATAAATTTGGGATAAACATTATTAAGAAAAGTAAAGTTGTTCCTTTGTTAAGACATTAACTCCTAGTTGTTATCTCTCCTTTTTTCTTTTTCAGAGTATATATGTAACTGCTCTGAGGTTGGAAGCCTGGATGGGAAGCACTGCAACCAAACCACAGGGCAGTGTGAGTGTCAGCAAGGTTATCAGGGCCTGCACTGTGAATCTTGCGAGGAGGGCTTTCACCTGAATCACACTTCTGGGCTCTGCCTGCCATGTAACTGTAGTCCACAGGGAGCCCTCAGTAAACTCTGCAACAGGTAAGCACTGGAGCATAGGAAAAAGCAAGGAAAAGAAAGTAGACTCCAGCTCTGAAGACCAGCCTGGTCTGAACTAAGGAGCAGGGGGGAGTCATAGGTTTATAAAATATTTTGTGTATTGTTACTCCTTGACTTTGTATGTCACACTTAATATGAGGATCAAAAACTTCCAATTTATTAATTTACTCTTTTATAAATATATTACTCTATTATAAATATATTAAATTATGATGGTTTCTCTAAATTTTATGGAGAAAAATTAAGAGGAAGAGATTGGCTTTCTATCAGGGCTAACTTTCAGGCATTTCTAATGAAATGTTCTTTTTATGTTAAAACGTAACTGGAGACTATGGGCTGGGGATTTAGCTCAGTGGCATAAGTGCCTGCCTGGCAAGCATGAGGTCATGAGTTTGATCCCCAGCACTGTAAAAAACAAAACAAAACAAAACATGACTGGAGACTTTCTTGATTTATTTTTTTTTCTTTTATCAAAATTATAGATTTGGACAACTAAGGCTTAAACTTGGTCATATTTATTTTCTTAAACTGGTGGTAAATAGACTAGTTTCATGCTAATTACCAGTGCATTTTAAGGCCAGAAACAGATTAAATTACCTTTAAAATAGTATGTTATTTGGAGGTGACTTAATCTAGCAGAACCATGCCATATTATCTGAGGTTTGACTTCTGTTATACTGAAAATAGTTAGTCTTTGGAATAAGACACTCAACTTTTTGTGGGTTAAACAAATGAAGAGCCAATATTATGTAACGAAAAGAACATAAGCTTTAGAATCTGTATAAGTTGGATATGAACCCAAGTTCTGCTACCACTTAGGAGGTCTGTGCCTGGGCAAGTCATTTTGTTTCACTGGCTCAGTTTCTTTTCAGGATTGTTGTGAAAGTTAAGTGAATTATATTTATATAAAATGCTTAGCATATATCACTCAAAAATTCTGATTTGTTTTCATTTTAAAGGAATATGGGTTGTTTAAATGAGATTTTTTTTTTTTTTTTTGAGACAGGGTCTCACTATGTTGCTTCAAACTTGTGATTCTCTGGCCTCAGCGTGATTATCAATATGTTCTTTAAGACTGAGAATATAGTAGGGCCTATCATTTAATCTGCCACCTACCCCCTACCTTCCCACCTCTCCTCTCCCCCAGAAAGGGCTGATCAAGGTAGCACATGCCTACACATCCATACTCTGGGAAACTGAGATGGGAGGACTGAAATTTTTTTTTTTTTTTGGTACTGGAAAATGAACTCCCTACCTCACACTTGCCAGGTGGGCACTGTGTTGCTGAGCTATATCTGTGGCCCTGGAGGATTAAAATTTTGAGCCTAGCCTGGGCAATTTAAGTGACTTAGCAAGATCCTGGCTCAAAATAAAAAGAACTGACAACATTTCCTTGTACAGAGGCCCTGAGTTCAATTTCCAGTACCAAAAACCAAAAAATGAACAAAGTAACACTCAAAACCTTCCAAGTTATATTCAGAAGTTTCACATTCCCACTACTTTAAAAAAGAAAGATATTGACAAATTTGTTTATTCTGGTATTTCATCAGACATCTTTTCTGTACTTTTGAAGAATCTAGACCAATTGCTTAGGTTAAAGGAGAAAAATAAGGATTAAAAGTTCTAAAACTTCAGCTTCTAAAAGCTGAAGGAGAGAAAAGCAGTAACAATAATATTTTTTTCATAGTTCTTTTACAAATTGTTTCTGCTTTCTCTTTTCTCTGACAGTTAATGTTACTAAAAAGTTTAAAGATGAAATGTTTTCCTGAAAATAGGTAGTAACCACCAGGTAGTAGAAAAATACTTTGGAATAGTAATCTAAACGTCTAGGGCAGAAGTCTATTAATCATGATGCAGAGACAAGATCATCCCACTGCTTGTTTTCATAAATAGAGTTTTACTGGAATATAGCCCCACTCTTTTATTTTTAGATTGTCTGTGGCTGCTTTTGTGCTATCACAGCAAGTTGACTAGTTAAAACATACTGTATGGCCCACCAGCCTACAATATTTGCAGTCTGATCTTTCAAGAAAAAATTCATCTGCTCTTTTTTACATGGCGATTTATGTTCAGTCATGGTGGATAATGTTAAGTAACTTTAAGCAAGCCATTTCTTTTAATCATTTGACTTTTTATTTGTAAAGCAGAGGTAATCCTTGCCCTGTCTTTCTCTTACATAGAGTTGTTATTTATTAATAATCCAGTAAGATAAATGTATATGTAAATCTTTGTAAGCTGTAATTGCTCAATAGTTAATAAAAATAATAATAGGAACAGATACTATTTTATAACAAAATAATAATTATTAAGTATGTATTATATTCTAGGGCATTTACTAACTTCTTAATTCAGCTCATATAATCTTCACAGAAACTTCCTTGAGGAGAATACTTATTTTCCTATGTTGAATATCATAATTCTGATATTTAGAAGGTATAGTTAGTGTTCCTAATTTTACACACTAAAGCTACATTCAATCCAACTGAACAAATGTAGTGTAGTATTAGTCCAGAACAACTTCACAACTAATGTTTTTCCTACTAGGAAGCCTCTTGCTCAAATATCCCCAGATTACTTACTGTTCAATTCAGTGTGTTTTGGCAGATTATTAGATAAGAAAAAGTCTGTATTTGTGTTCCAGAAGTCAATAAAGGCATATACTACATTTTTAACAAAATGGTATGTAGGAAGCCTGTGTTGTTATAGTTACACTTGGTAGAATGCCAGAATCACATGTAGACAATTTAAAAATTGTGCCAAATGTCAGAGAAGAGGATGTATAGTATAATGCCACATACAGCTGCCGATAAAAGCTATAGAAATTGGTTTTGGTCAGGGAGTGATATTTTGAACATTCTATATCCTACCCTGAGAATTTATTTTTTTTAATAGGTGCTTGCCTGTGTTTTAGTATTACTTTAAAAACTTGTTAGGGCTGGGGATTTAACTCAGTGGTTCAAGTGCTTGCCTGGTAAAAACTTAGTGAGTTCCATTCTGGTACCAAAAAACAAACAAACAAAACAACTTGTTTCATCTTTTTTATGCTGGGAATTGAACCCAGGGCTAAAATACCAGCCCCATTTTGAGTTAACATAAGTGAATTGTAATTTTAAAATTCTAAATATTGGAAAATAAGTTAACATTTCATGTAGAATAACTGATTTTTAGTAATGGACAATGGATGCTATACAAGAGATAGAAGATACTTATAAATTACTGCCTGATACACATAGCCTATTTTATGCTATGTGCTAGATTCTGTTATCCTTAGGACTTATGTTTTGTTTTAATGAGGTAGCATGAATATATATGTCAAGGTATGTTGGTTTCTCAAATGTTTTATTTTCTGAGTGAAATCTGCAAAGGCCTTGCTTTCCTTGCAAACCATGCAAGTAAGGACTATTGAACTTTCTTTCTCACACTCCTCTTACATCTAGGTTTAGAGTTAGAAAACTATTTTCCTTTTGCCTTTTTGTTGCTGCTATAGTGTCTTTCTTTTTTTTTTCTAAAAAAAGCCCACCTCTGAATCTCCTGACAGCAGATTGCACCGTTCCACCCCCTTATTGCTGTTCCCTCTCCTGGTTTCACCAGGTATTTTATGCACATGGCTCACTGATACCCCTGTGATGCTATACCTGCCGCCATTCTGGATGATTACTGGGTATGTGGATGACACTAACAAGGCTTTGCCTTTTCTATTCCTATTACTTCTTCCATTCTCCTTCCAATCTTTATATTTTTCCTGTTACTTGTTTGTCTTTGGCCCCAAGAATAGGCATGTTAAAATTTTGAAATAAATACATACTTTTCTATGGATATTTAAGAGTAATATTTATTTTTTAATTTAAAAAATACTATTTTAGAATGTGAGGCAATTTTTCAGAAATAGAAGTGCATCACAAAAGTCATTTAAAAGTCTGTACTCAAAGGAAATCTTTACAAGGAAAGAATAAGAGCTCAAGGCCACGTAACATTAAGCTCTGCATTTCTTGTTACCAGAAATGCAGTTAAGTTAACATGAGATTAGAACAGAAATGGGAAGCTTCATGTGTGGTGTATACAAGACTATATGAGTGCATCACAAAGAAACACTAGAAAATTGTTGACAGTGTGATATATTTAGCAGAAAGGGATGGGAATTTGAAATTGGTAACTTTGATTCTCTTCTTGGTTTAGTCACTTACTATCTGGCTAATAACATATTAACTAGCTTAATGACTTGTTTAGGCTATTTGACCTCTCTGAACCTCAGTGTCATCAGTAAAATAGGAGCTCTCCCCCGGCATGTCTATACACACATATATGTGCATACATGCATGCATATATATAAAATGAAGGATTTTTGTGAGACATAAGGTAGGGGTGTGTGTGTGTGTGTGTGTGTGTGTGTGTGTGTGTATTTACGGAGATACATAGATTCAGTTCAATTCCTCCCTAGGAGTTGGACCTACTTTTGTTTTTGTTTTCATTTTTGTGATGGGATTATTTCTAATTTTCTCAGGCTAGTCTTAAACTCATAGGTTCAAGTGATCCTCCTGCCTCAGCCTCCTGAGTGTTGGAATTACAGAGATGCTCCACCATAGCTAGCCATTTTTTTTTTTTTTTGTCTTTTTCGTTTTTTATCAGTACCAGGGATCCAACTCACGACCGCCTGCTTGCAAGGCAGGTGCTTATGCTGCTGAGCTAAATCCCCAGCCCCAACCATTTTATTTTTTAATTGAAGAATTAGTATCTCACAAATGAAGAGTAAGAATTAAAATATTTGTTTTATATTGGTAAGCTAAAAAAGAAATTATGCATTATAACCAAAAATTCACTTAATATTTTATATATGATTAAAATTATATATTGTTTCAGTTATTCTAGGCACTATCCCAAGCCTTTTATAGTTATTAATTCATTTAATCCTCATAGCAGCCATATAAGACTCTATTACTGCTATTTTCATTTGTACACGGAACCGTCACAGATAATTTGCATAA